TGTATTTCCAATTTATTTCCCTGTTCAATTCAAGGTGTTAGCTTTGAGCTCTGAAAGCTTTTTATGATTTCAGTCCAGGCAACCTTCAAAAAACACTTCTTTTCTCATGTTCTTCCCCCAAAGTTGAGATCAGCTGGTGTGGGGCTTGGTAGCAGGGTATTTTTGAGGAAGCTTTTCCAGCTGCAGGATGCATGGCCTCTCTGTAGCCCTGCCCAGGACTTTTGACCCATGATCCTCACCTGTTGCTAAAGCCTTTGCTTGAAGATGTTGGTTGGACAGGTTTGGTGGTCTGTTAGAGGTGAAAATTGTTGAGTCCTTTAAACTGGATTCTGTATAGTATTCCCTAGCTGATATTGGCTCAGTTTTGTTAATTTTTTTTTAATTATTATTTCATTAACATAATACAAATAAATCAAAATAATATCTTATTTCCTAACGTGATCTGGATCTTAGTAGCCTTATTGACCATTCTAGAATTTATAACACAGATACCTCTCTTTCAATGATCTCTTTCTTCCTTCTTCGAGGAACCAGCATTTGAAAGCATTATTTTTGTAGTATAAGTGATCAGAGAGAAACCAGAGAATGGAAATAGATGTCACACATTCTCACATTTTTTCTGTGTTGGTTATCATATCCAAACTTCCGATAGGTTTGTTAACAAAGGAACTGACATTATTACTGAACCTTTGACAACCAACCAAGTATTTGCTGGTGACTTACTAGAACAATATTTCAGAATGTGTCTGCCCCCAAACCATTGAAACAATCGCCATTAGCTCCTCCTGACTCCCATTGTGCTAAATGCAAGTACCCTTATTTGTCTTCTAGATTGTGTTTTGTGTGTGTGTTCTTATAGTTGAAACTCGTAGTATGAGTATTAAATTTATATTGCTTTTAGAAGCATAATAAAGAATATTGTTATATTCAACTATTAGAAGATTTAAAAAAAATAACAATTTCTTTTTGCTTAATATAATAAAGCAGGGCTACACATACATTATTAACCATTGTCTGATTACAAGGATTCAGTTCAAGATGTATTGCTGATTTTATATATTTGCAGCTATTTTTCCCTCTCTGCTTTTCCATGTTTCTTTTCCAGTTTTTGTTAGTTTTTAAAACCGTTACGTAATCTGCACTAAATGAACACCACATATAAGGAGACAGAATAAAGCAAGAAGAAAAAAAATGTTTATACAGGGAAAATATGTATTTTTCTTTTTTGTTTAACTTAATGAGAGAGTGCAATGATGCATTTCTGCCTCCTTATGGTGTTGTTTAATACTTATTAATCAGCTGCACTTCAGGTTAATTCAGAAGACTCCAAAATGGTGGTTCCCATTAATAAGTAGATGCTGCTGGCTTCTCCTATGGCCTTGACTAACAATCTTTCCAAAGATAAGAGCATTCCTTGGAGTCTCTTTTTCTAGTGTAGAACTCAGAAGAATAGAGGAGACCAGCTTTGCAACCTGCATCTGGGTCCTTCTTATCTATCTTTCTCTTGCGATTCCATACTGGGCTTCTCAAAAGGGATTTAATATAATTATCATAGAATACCCTTCTGGGTTAATCCTTCCATGGGCCTTCTCTTTCTCACAGTCAGATAACACTATCATAAAATAAGGAAATACACACACACACAACAAATCTGGAAATAGTGTGATAGATTTTTAATGGTATAAAAACACATCCCATCTAGTGAAACTTGTTAAAGCCATTGAAACAATTCTTGATCCTAATGAACCTAAATGATTGTTCAAATGTTGATTCCAGAAGATCTGTACCAACTGATGTTTTCATGTGCATCTATGTCATCTGATTTTTTGTATTTAGTTTTGACTCAATAAGCGGTGTGGTTTTTTTTGTTTTGTTTTTTTTTACTTTGGGGGAGATTGGGGGAGTTGAGAAGGTGAGTGAGCATCTTGCAGTGGCTTGAGGTCTCTCAAAAATCAGGACAATGGCATGCGATTGACATAGTAAGCAGAAAGACCAGATCTACACTATCATGCTTTGTTACCATCATATTTTTGGCTGCTTGAAGATATTCAGAGGTTTGGAATATCACAGATAGACACAAGGATATAGATTAATGGACAGGGTTCAAATGAGTCAATGTTACCATGGTGATAGGTACATTAGAAATATCTAGTGAAGTAGATGCATAATACATGTTGTTTATCTAGTGTATTAGAGGGCTTTCCCTTCACCCTCTCCCCTGGTTCTTGTCATGCAAACAGAAAGCAGAAGACCAGAAGTCTGAAGTGCAGGCAATGCAATGTTTATTGGTGTTAGTTCCAAGCAAGCATATTCATTGCTCTATATGCCAGCAGGGTCTATTTCCCAGGATTCCGTTCCCAGCTCTGACCCCACAGAGCGTTTACCCCGTTTACTCCATCTCAGCTCTGATGCCACCGAGCCTTGCCTGTGTCCCTGTTTTCCCTCCTCATTCCCATTTCCCCTTTCTTAGCAGGCCCAAATATACCCGAAATGCACACCCTCGGTCCCACCCCTTACAACTTATGGTCATGTTCCATTTTGGAGGGTCATGAGTCTAGGGTCTTTGTCCCACCTCTTTTGTATCCCATGGGATGGGTGGGGAGTGAGGTTGTGCTATGGTCAGGGACAGGCTTTTCTTTGGTCTTTTAGTGTTTTATAACTTCCCCCAAATCCCTCTTTGCCCCTCCCAACTGGTTGCTTGACCTTGCCTTGAGATAGGTGTTGA